TTGGAACTTCTCTGGCTCATCTTCTGTCAAAAGCTTCATGTAGTTTGAGACATGGCCACCATAGATGTAGTTCCTGTGGAACTCAGCATCAAGTTGTTTGTTCTCTTTGTTGAAACCTGCAAATCTCTTGTCACTGTGTGGGATATCAAGTCCTCCATCCAAAGCTCCCTATAGTAATCATGAAGCAAAACAAAAGTGTATTAAAGACTTGCCAGTGAATCATTTGCACATGAAAACACAGTAGAACAGTTAAGAACAATGCCAATACATATGTTTCTACCTTGAGTGCACCAAAAACACGGTTTCCTGTGGTGGTCCTGATAAGTCCAACATCAAGAAGAGCACGGAAAGGCCTCCTTGAATCAGTTGGTTCCACAGAAAAGTCCTCTCCAGTGGCCTGATCATGAAATAATATGATTGAGTTTCATTTAACCTAGAGAGGAGACTCATGTTCAAGATGAAACCAAGGCCAACACATACCTCTAGGTTGCCCTCATACTCAGCATCCATCTCCAACATCTTCAGAACACGGCGAGCCAAAAGAAGGCCAGTGCAGTATGCTGATTTGACAAAAAAAAATAAGACTTTAGGAAACCATAAAGACAGAATCAAACATGTTTTAAATACCAAAATCACACGACTGATTCAATACCTGCAGCATAGTTGGTAAGTCCAACAGTGAGTCCATAATGAGGAAGCTCATGTGCATAAGCAGAAGCCTTAACGATGTCACCAGCAATGCTGGCGGACACAATCTGTGCGACAATGTCCTTGTTGGTGAATCTGACCACAAACCTGTACTTAGGAGTGTTGTACTTGTTCTTGTCCTGGTTGATAAGACGGATCCTTGCTCTGTAATCAGTCTTGCCATCTACAGAATATGAAACAACTTTTTAGAACAGTTTGAAAAAGAGAAGAGAGAAAGAAACGAAATTAGGAGTCTATACCTCTTCTTCTCCTGAACTTCACTTGGTACCTCTTGAAGTAAGCATTCGACTTATTGGGCTTGACAAACACCTAACAATATAAATCATCGTATTTCATCAGTTCATGATATAAACCCTAATTAAAACCTAAGATCTAACGATATAGCTCTTCTTCCAAAGGTACCAGAGATCTAGCTGAAATATCAATGACCCGAGCAAAAACTACAGCCTTTAAGCAACAAAGATTAATTCTTTATGTAGTTCTAAATGATAAAGCAAGAGAATATGCATATATTTCAAATCTAAATCAAGTCCTAAACAAAAAATGAAGAATACAACCATGAATTCCAAAGGAAACGCTGAAGAGATACTGCAGGAGATTTCTATTTGAAATGAAGAACAACAAAATCCGATTGTCTGAAGAGTAATACGAGAGAAAAACTAGAAGAAACCATGGCGGTATAA